GCTGATCGGAGATAATTAACCAGACCCGGGAATAGTCTGAACTCACAGTTATATGATTACATGGAGACTCAACGCCCACCCAGCCTCCTGTCGAGCATCAGTAGCTGTCCGCTAGCTTTGAATTCCGCCAAGTTTTCGACCCCGCATTTGCCGCGCTGTTATTTCCTCTGCAGCCCTGCTACAACGGTTTGCAGTGTCGACATCTCCGGTTGCTTAAATACACGAATCGAATTGACCAGAGACATTTGCACCATAAATATGGAGAGACTCTCGTTGATGAACGTTCAGATCGTTAACGGAACTCTTTCTTCCATAGGGCCGACTCTTCAGCCACGCCTACAGCCGCACAGCCGCCTGTAGTGCACGCAGGTACAGATTGCCGTCGAAAAGAGGGGAGACTGGAATGGCTATTTCTGACTTATTAGCTGCCATCACCCAATCTGCCAAGAATGAGCCCAAGGGCACAACGGGGGTGAGTGACTCTCGTAACCGATCATTGGGCACTGTTATTATGCAAAATCGCTCACCGAAATTACTGTCATAATCCCTTTTCTGTCAAGGTTCCTCCATTTTTCCCAGAAACGTTTTTTTTTATCGCAAGACGCCCACGCATTTGGCAGGGTTTGGAATCTGAAACTGGATACGAACAGCCGGCTGGCGCACGCCAAATTGCTCAAATTGCCCAAACGTTTCTTTGTTTCAACTTGAATCAGCCGCCTGTTACATCAGTCTGTTTAAGTATAAATTGCTTTTAAGCTGAAGTAACTTAGTCAAAGAGGCAGTTGCTTTCCTGTTTAAAACGGATCATTAGCAGCATCGAGGAACGACTCTGTTGTGAGAATATCTATGCTACCCACACCAGTCTGCTAGTCTATTGACAAGCACGCGCTAAGTATGGGATCTTCCATGACAATTTATTTTGCAATACATAGACCCTTGAAATTCAATCTCGTAGTAGCGGCGCATATAACAAAATAGATGGTTCAGACAGTTATCACGAGGACATCATCGTGAGCGCGTAAGCAGGCGAAGTTGTCCACAGCTCAAAGTTAGATACCGTTAGCGTTTTTGCGAGTGTTACTAGGGGGTCCACAAACTCATCTCGTATATGGCATAAGAGCGTATCTATTAACGTTAAAGGTTGGCTTATCGACTCCGGCGTAAGAATAACTGTTTCACGTACGCCAGTCCGCTAGTCCGCTTGCAAGCACACGCTGAGTATGGGCTCTTCCACGACAGTTTACTTTGCAATACATGGACACTTGAACTTCAATCTCGTAATAGTGGCGCACATACTAAACCAGCTGACTCAGACAGTTATCACGGCGACCTCTCCGTGAGAGGAAACTGCAGGAAAGGTACGTACGATGATTCGCCCTCCGGCTTAAAGATTGGTGGAAGCCTGAGTTGCTATTGTTATAGCTGATGCAAAATAATGGAAGCACAACCACCATATGTGTGGCGGACGGCCACAATGCCTGTTCCCCCTTCGTTCTCCAAGGCCCGCTGCA